TGAGCTCAAGTTTTCCCAAACAGGTTATTTGTTGATCATATTTTTAAAAAGTGAATTTCAGTCCAGTGACTTCAACAGGCTGCCATGCAGACTGCATGTAAACCACTCCAAAAGTGACACACGAGTTCTGTCAGGGATGTACGTTTGTTGTCATCACTATTTCCTCAGCATGGCTGCTTGCTTCCAGCTCTATAAAGCTAGAATGATGCTGAATCTCATTCCTGCAGTATTTAGTAGGCAGTTCCTATCAGGGAAAGTGACTCAGCTGAGCTAGACAAGACCGATCCCACCCAACCCATGTAATCCTCAAGCAGCACATGCAGCATCCCAGCTTCCAGTCTGGTTAGCTGTATGCTGTCAAAAGCCAGCTTTTCCTCTGTATGCTTTATGAAAAAAGTCAGTCCCTTTAACTCTTTTGCATCTCCTTTCTAATAAACACTTACCTTGTCTCCTTCCTCAATATCACAAATTTTCTCCAGTGTTGAGGGATTGTAGGTAGGGAACTTCTTTCCACTGGTAGACTCATGCCATTCATTGTTTATAAATATCTGAGGAGAGAGCAAGATGAGCAGAACAGCTAGGAGAAGGACAACACTGGTGCAGACAAAACAAAAATCACAGAAGTACTCTTCACAGCTCCCAAGGCTCTTCAGCTTCCATTGATGGTGTGTTCAATCCATCCCAGTGAGACTTTATGATACAGACAGCAGTTATCCAAACTGAGCCAAAAAATGGACAAGAAAGCCTTCGTGCACCCACTTAGTTTCGAGCAAAAGGAAGACAGAGGATGGGGCCCACACAGTGCAATGCCATAATTTAGCAATGAGAAAGAAACCACTGCTGAAATCAATTTCCATGGGAACAGCAAGCAGACACCAAGAGAAACCCATAGGGCTCAGGCAAAAGTTGCCCCTTGTTGCATGCTACAAGCAAGTGTCTGCATGCAATATTACTTGGTTACTCGTATCCTGCCCTGGGCTAGTTCCATAACTGCCCTCAGCACCACAGAGGAAGGTAGGAACAGGCTTGGTTCTACCCCACTATGCCTTGCCACAGGATAGATCGAGCCTCCCACGTCACTGGAGTCATCTGTGACAAGATTTAAGTGTTTCAAAATATTACATTTCCAGAGCAAGAACAAACAGTCCCAGCATTGCGTAACTAAAAACACATTAAATACTAGAGTGTTGTTACACACTGTAAACAGAACATGAATACCTATATACAATTAATTGATTCAACATGCATCTTATCCACATTGCAATCTAACTTGGCAGTGTTATGTTTTATAAATAAAGATACTTTTTAAAATCAAGATTAGATGAAGTAATCTTTATTAGTGGCTGTAAGCTAGTACTTTTACTTGGAAGTCTTCCACATTTGCAATCTTGTTTACGACTCTCTATGCACCAGCAGGAGATTAATGTTGCATCCCTTACATTTGAAATTCCCACTGCTCTGGGTCATATTTTTTCCTTGGGCAGCTTTTTTCCTGAAAGGAGTTCCTCCCACCTATTTCTGCAGAGAAGTATTTGAGACATAACTGGCGCAGATACTGCACTTCTGGTCCCACCTGTTTCATACAGGCTTAGGAAGAAAACATTGCCAGGAAGTTATCATATGAAGTCAATGTTAGAAATATCAATTACTATTAGAAATTAAAATGCAGCACTTAAATAATAGGTAGCTATTTCAGGAGTAGATAACAGTTCCGTTTTAGGTTTCCTCTGTTTCTCTTGAAAAAAGTCACAATAAGCATGAGAGGTGATAGCAAGAAGTGTGAAGTTACCAAGCCAGACATATGCTCACAACCTCAGTACAGGGGAGTAATTCCTCCACCTCTGCACCGAGTGCTTATTTTACATGAGAAGGTTGAGAACAGAAAGCAACATTTCTATGAGAAATAGTAAAACAAGGACAACAAGATTCAATATTTTAAGATCTAACATATATGCTGACACCATTCTGGGAAGCACACAGCATAGCCCGGTCTGTGGTGCCAGGAGTTGAAATGAAACAGAATAGCGTATCAACTGTTCATGTTGCATACTATTCATGTTGCATACTCCAAATGCAGGACACGAGATTCTGGACAGACCACTTCCATCACACACCCAGGACAAGCATTAAGCTGCTCTGTAAGCAAGATTATTGGTGATAGACTTTCTTCCCTCTCCCTCAGCCCAGTAACTGGCAGAAACAAAAATAATATATATATTTTTTTGCAAAGCAGAAAGTGTGCCATCAGCTGCAGACATCTGGTGGAACTCAGAGCTTGCAGAAAACCCCTCCGTTTTATGAAGACTGACTGCTGCTCGTTATTTTCTCAGATGCACTAGGGGCATTGGATCAAATATCAAATTCACACTTTTAATTAACATTGTTTCCCACTATTAAGTTACAACCTCGATACTTTCGATGCGGAGAGTCTCTGGCAAAACTCTGGAGAATAAAAATTTGGTCTTTAAAACAAATGCACTGCAGGATTGGATCCCAAAGGAATATTTAAAAGTGTTCACAACAATAAAAATAACACAAAACAGAACATTTGGATGTTTAAGAAGAATCCTGATGCGGTGTCCATTCCGGACACAGGAAAGAGCTGTTAGTGCAGCATTACGCTGTTCTGCGACCAGCAGCTGCAGATCCAATCTGCTGCTAAGTGACAATTTTATCTCCAAAAATATATATATGTGTATTAAGAAGTTAAAAATTAGCAGTTAGCATAACCACTAGGCTAGATTAATTTGTTTCAGTACTTTGGATGCACAATTCAAACCAACACCTAACCGGACAAACTATCACTGCTTACTCTTTCTTCTCACTGCAGGAGAACGAGCTTGGAGTTTGCAGTTTTTTTGCCTTGAAATATTTAGCACAGAAATGTAACAGTAATTAACATACACTCAGCCCCTCCAGCTCTTTTAGCCCAGCCACGTAACTGAAATATAACAGCATGAGCCTGGCTATTTCCCCCACTGCATGAGAGCGTGGGTCGGGCAGCTGGGAACGAAAAGCAGTTCGGAGCTCACAGAGCTGCATGCACAGGGAGTGCTGGAGCGGAGCTGAGTGCTCTTGCAACGCCAACAGCATTTCTGAAGGACAGAGCTCCCAAACTAAGTTTGAGGGCAGACTTAGAGCTGCGGGTTCTTTGGCTTCTCCTAGAGGTGGCCAGTAAGCCCACGAGGAGCTCCATGGGGATGGCGAGCAAGCAGCAAGATGGGCATCCATACTGCTCACCTCACAGAGCTACCAACAGGTCCAGCCTCACCTCATAGCCCTTCCACGTCCTCCTAGAGATGCAGCTCAGTGCTCAGTGCATCCCTGCAGGGACAGCAGAACCAACCTCTTCCATCAGCACCCTCACACAGCACTCCTCTCAGCCCTGCCCAGGCTCACCCTGCCCAAACTTTGTAGAGCACTGACACGATGCTGAGTGCCGCCCTTGGGATTCACCACATGGGTTCCTTGAGCAGGGAAGGGGCAAAATGGCCGTCAGGGCTGCGGCCCTCAGCAGGACCAGTGCCAGGGCTGAAAGGGCCTGCAGGCACCTGGAGCAGCACTACAGGTTCATTACGTTAAGAAACAACAATAATAATAATTTTGTTTTGTTTTTAGACTTTAGAGGTTGGAGCAAATGCAGCTCTCTAGAAACAACACAGAGACCCCCTTGCTCTGTTCACTCAGCCATTCTTACAGCCCCATTACCCCACTGTCTAGGGCGTTAGGAGACGATAAAACAACAAATACAGCTCACACTGGAGGAATTAATGAAAAACAACTTGAAAAGACAAAACACCTCACCACCAGCCCAACTCCCCCAAGCACGAGGTGACACTGCAGCAAAGCCCACCTCCCCAGCTCACCTTGGTGTATTTCACCTCCAAACCCCTCAGAGGCCGTGGCAGCGGCGGCCCCTTCTTGTCAGGCTGCCCGTTCTCCACAGCACCGTTGACCGCTGCCATTCCCACCCCGTCGAGCCCACACCACCGTTCTGCCGCTGACAGCTCACGGCGCCGCCTTAAGAACGCCGCCGCCCGCTCCTATTGGCTGCCGAGCCGCCACGCCCCGCCTTGGCCCCGCCCCCCTCCGCGCGGCAGCGGCCCTCAGGTAACGGGCGGCGCCCCGCCGAGGCGCTGCGGCCAGCGAAGGGTCGGGGGGCGCCCGCGGGCCGCGCCTGCTGCCTCAGGGCTGCGAGGCGCCCTCAGGGAGGCGGTGGAGGCCTCTCAGAGGGATGGAGGCACCTCAGGGCTTGGGGAGAGCGGCCAGTTGGCCTGCGCCCATCTGAGGGGCCCCGAGGGTGCGGCCTCCAGCGCAGCGCTCTTAGCGCGGTGGGGACGCCGAGATGGATGCTCGCTGTCACGGAGTCCTGAAGGATATGGAACGTGTCTGAAGTGACAGATCTCGGCTCGGAGCCGGAAAGAGTTCACTACGCGTTGCTTAACAGCTTTCTGAATCAAGTATGCGTAGGGCTCCTTAGGCTGGGGGCCAGGACACTGGGAGCACCCTCACACCCACAGGCGCATGGAAGATAACGCGGCATATTTTCCATATAACGAGTGGCGAGGTGCCAGGACATATCTTACAAAACGTTTCGCAGAATCTGTAATCCCCAGCACTCGTCAGCACTTTGCTGTTCCAGCGCTCAGAAATAAAGGCAGATCAGCTGTGATATCATGAGCCTCGGTGCTGATTCAGAAGGGAAAGTACCACCGCTGAATCAGATCCTGCTTCCCGGAGCCTGCAGGATGCTCCTGAGATCCCCGCTCCGTGTGGGGAGATGCAGTACAACAGCAGAAACGTCGACATCCATGCTGTCCGTTTTTAACTTTCCAATTGCTATTTCGTAGAATCATTGAGGTTGGGAAAGCCCACTAAGATCCTCAAGTCCAATCCCAACCCACCATGCCCACTGACCATGTCCCTCAGTGCCACATCTCCACAGTTCTTGGACATCTCCAACCCCAGCAACCTCCCTGGGCAGCCTGTTCCAATGCATTACTGCTCTGAGAAGAATTTTTTCCAATCTAAACCTCCCCTGGTGCAACTTAAAGTCATTATTTCTCGTCCTAAAGTCATTACCTCTTGTCTTTTCCCACCAAAGCAAGAAAAGCATCAAAACTAGACAAAAATTCTTAACTAAAACCACACCTAATACCAGTCCCAGTAAAGTGGAAGTTGCATCCAAGCTATTCTTGGATGTCATCAATGTAACTACAAGGTGAGTGATGTGATTGCACAAATCAGAGTCAGGATGGAAAACATTTCTGTCTCCTCTCTGGAACAGACACGGCCACAGATCCATTTCAGGGCTGGTGACACAGTCTGGCAATAGAACTTTATGTCTCAGATAATTTGCCAGTTTGGATTTTATGATAATGTACAGGTAATAATTTGATGCTTCAAATATCAGATGGGGGGGAATAGACTGCCATGGAAGTAGCACAATACAGGTATAATTAATTCATTTTTATCTGCCTGTACTTTGCCCATGGAAACACTCAGCACACATGGAAAGTGCTTCTGTAATTAGAGAACAAAATATCTGGATGAGGGCAAATATGAATAAGAACTTTCAGGACAAGCAGTGTCAAGGGAGTCATTCCACTGGATTGTCTCATACAGAATGACTTTGCCTCAATCTCTGACAAGGAAGATTTTTTGCAGGGCAATCCTGGAAACATTATTTGAGGTATTATCACTTCTATGAGTTAATGTAAGTGCATAGTGAGTTGAAGCTAAGGTAAAAGTTCTGCACGCAGGGTTTCAGGATACAGCACTGCTTTAAAAGGCTGTACAAAGTAAATGATTTGTGAGTCAGTGGCATATGGATGAGCTGAAATAATAAGCTTTGACCAATATACATAGCTGTAAACAGCGTGTCCCTTAGTCATGTCACAAGTAGAGTAACAATACGTTCCACCAGTGAGTTTTGTGGACACTGGGCCCTCGTTGGGAAACTCTGTCCTACCATAAACCGGACCAACACCACCAGCCTCACGAGATGTGTCCTCTGTGGCCAGTGATTGTATCAGACCCACCACAGAGAAAACACTCAGTCCTCCATCTTGCTGAGAGGTGAGCTCAGTGGGAGATGCCCTAAAAGCAACAGCAGGGTCTGTGTCAGAATGGGTGAGAGGCATTTTTATTTGTTCCCATGCTCCAGGAGCACCACACCACCATTCACGTGGAAGTACTGAAAAAATGGGTTTTACCTAACTTTGTAACAGTTCATAAATGTGTCAGAAACAGGGGAAAAGAGGAAAAGAGTCTGTTAATGAAAGGTCATGTTACTATTGAGTCACCTTATTACGTTCTACTGTTGCAGCAGTGTTCTCAGAGATGTCTACAATATGTGCACTGACTGCTCTGCTTTTGTACAGAGCCATGTCTCACAGAAGATTTCTAGACTCTGAGTACACCAAGCTCCCTTCCAACCCAAGCTATCCCACGATAGGAGTCTATGATACGATTATCTGTCAGCCAGCACAAAGATTGCCTTTCCTAATTTGGGTCAGACATGTACACTCCTAAGTCTCTCACCATACGTTGGATCTGACCATGCTGTTCTGTTCCAGTCTGTCCGTGCCAAAAGCCATCCCAAGACATGTTTGTGCTATGATGGAGTGGTGTCCCTATCTGCTGCAGAAATTAATTTGCTAGAATTCCTAACCTTATCCAGTCATAAGAAAGGGAATATTCTGGGTGGTAACTCCTTCAAACACAGCCCGTGCCTGTATATCTGTCCTATATCCTGGCCCCACACCAGGAGTGCAGTGGGGTTGTACCCAGAAGATTGATGAAGATCTCTGTATCACCTGAGATCATAATGGTTCTGGGCAGCTTTGGCATCCTGCCCTCTGGATAAACACAGACTTGGCAGTAGGGCAGATATCCACTGACACGACCACGGTCTGCACTGAGCCCCATCAGCAGTGGTATAGCCACTGAGAGCTGCTGTAAGTAGATGAGAGCTGCTGAGCTGATATTTACCGGATATTTTGCATTTATTCCTCAGCCTATATTCCAAGCTGAGCAGAAGTTCTATAGCTGTGCAGTTAGTGTGGCACGAAGCCAAAGCTTATTCTTCTTACTTTACATACACCCCGAAGCACATACACACACAAACATGAATACATGTGTGAAACTGTATACTCTGACAGGCTACTGAGGCTGTATGCTTCAGTACCCAGCAGCCAGGAGTGACCAGAACTTGCCTGTTTGTGTATACCCTGATGAGTTGTAATTGAGTGATCAGTGCCCTTTTCCTACAGCTATCCCCCTCAGTCTGCATCAGCAATGGTTGCTGCTCTTGAAAAAGCAGCTCCCCTCATGCTTTATCCTTAATGTGCAGAAAAGGGACTTTTTACTGCCTGTTGTTCAAACTGCACTTTGGGCACAAAATTATTCACTTCCATATGTTTTTCCCATGTTGCTTACCGTAGCATTTTCTTTCCCACTAGTTCTGAGAGGATGCTGACCCTAGAGAAAACAAGGCAGGACGTGATGAATTCAAAAAAGGACTTCACTATGTTGGGTGTAAGCCACCTACAGCCTGAGCACTTCAGATGAGGGCATTCAGAGCTCAGTTCCCACTCAGCTCCAGATGTAATTGCACAACACAGGGGCTCTGCAGATCTCCCACCTAAACACCCAGATAAGGCAGAACACACAGCCCACAGGGCATTGCTCACCAAGGATTTTAAGCTGGGAACTTGCTTATTTTTCAGAGCCAGATTTTGCAAACACATTATTCATATAACTTTATCTTCTGGGTGTAGTTTTCTACCATTAGAGTTCATTTTTCCAGACTTGAAAATCATAGCTTTCATCTCTTTTGGTCAAATTCACCAACAGGATGAAGAAATGGTCCCTCAGATACCCATCTAAAAAGGCTATTTATTAACAAACATAACTAAATGCTTTAGGTGTCTAACCAATGACTTAGCTGTCTATGGGTAATCTCTGCTGCTTAAAATTTGGCTTCTACAGGTTTGGTTTTTTTTTTGCTATGAGTTCATTGAAGCCAAACATGCCATATGAAACAAAAAGAAATGGTAATAACCGAACTAAGGCTCTCAGCTGTAAAATACATTGCAAATGACACTATGTTAATGAAAAATTCTGCCATTTTATACCAAACCAAATTCTATTCCGTGTTCATATGCAATTTTGAAAGGGCTACAGTCTAGAAATAGGACCCTTTTTTAAAAGAAGATCTGGCTGCTGCAAAGATCCTTCGGAAATTGTATGTCTTACAGTTCTTTGCTTTTTTTTTTTTAGTTAATCCAATCTTACTTGAGCTATGCCAAATGCTATGAGGAGAAGGGCTGTATGCACCAGGCGTGTTTGGGAGTTTGAAGCAGCCTTACCCCATGAACTCACCAATCTCCAGTTCTCCCATCACCTTTCTTGTGACCTCTCAGGTTAAGGCATCCTCTGAAGAAGAGCTTGGTCTTCCATTTCTTTCCATCTCCACAAAATCTGCGCGTAAAGGTGAAGAGAAACAACAGAAGGTAGTGCAAGATGTTATTTGGGTAAGCCTGGCAGCCTATCTGTCATCCTAAACATGCCCTCATGGTGCAAAACAAGACTTCAGGGGCTCAGGATGGAAGACAGCCCTTTTATACTTTGCACTGTAATTATTACTTCATGAAGCAAAATACTCAATTTTCTTCAGGTGTGTCATAGTATTAAACTGACTGTACACATGGACTGGCTTTCTCTTTAGTTTTCCTGCCTCCAAAAATATATTGGAAAAGTTAGTGGCAAGGAAATAACAAACAGCTGAGCGTTTTGAAGCCTTTATATTATAACAACTTCTATTTCCTTTTGCCATCACTTCCCTCTGCCAGGGTCAATGCTGGAAAATGAGGAGAGTGGGAGCAGGAACAGAAGCAAGTGCATGATAACCCACTAAGATAACGCCTGTGCTGGGAAGCAGTTCAAGGACCTGTTTCATTACGAAGCATTCAATGTGTCTGGCACCACGAACCACTCCCTGCATTGATCTTGCCATGCAGATCTGAGCATTATTTGCCTACAAACAGCTATTGTTAGTGGGGAAAAAAAAAAAAAAAAAAAGAAAGAAAGAAAAACCAAATATGTTTGTTTTTTCTCCCAGATCGTGTTGCTTTCTACTTTCTCTTGATAAGAGGCACGCGGGGTGGGTGCCCAGGCTTTGTAAGACATGGTTGCCTTGTCAGGAACTGAGAAGCCTGAAATGTGCTCTCTTCTCTTCCTTCCTCCCTGCCTCTTTGCTCTCACTCATCGTCACATCTGTTCTGGGCCCAATGCCCACCCGCCCTGCATTAACGCCCCAGTACACACAGCCCATGCAGCAGAAAGCTTTGGGATGCGATGCACCCAGTGCTGCAACATCTTCCCAAACCAAGAGCCTGCAAACAGTTTTGTTTTGTTGGCTTCGTAATGCTACTTTAGAGCTGTGCCCAGCCAGCTTAGCCACTTCGGTTCTTGTCAGAGAAATAGCTTTGCAGGGCACAGTCATGAATCTTGAAAATACAGAGCAGAGCAGGTAAACAAATATCCTTACAGAAGATACCATCTCAGGCCTTGATCCTGCAAACTCACCCAGGCTTAATGTTAAGCAGTCCCAGATGACTTCAGCACAGCTCCTCACATGCTTACAGCACAGAGCCTTTGCCAGATCAGAGCCTTTATGTCTAATTGCAAAATAAAAGGCAACTCTCCCAGCCCTATCAGCTGTAATGAATTGTTATTAACATAACATTTTAAAATAGCTGCGGGGCAGATCCCAGGCAGACCCACTGGGGATAAAATGATGTGTGCAGGCTTGTTGTAACAGGACCTAGAATTACTTTTCCTTGGACGAAGCACAGTGCCAGTCATACAAAATGCTAACAGCACAGCGAGGTTGTTTTCCTAGGCTCTGATCTGTGCGAGGGTTTTGTGGTTCTTCGCACAGCCCCTTTGTTTGCCACCTTTGGAGCTGAATCCTGATTTTTGCTTCAACTGTGGGTTAGGAAATGTTCTCCTCCTCACCTAGGGCACGCTGTCTATAACAATGTATTGGTTTCACAACATCCCGACCTACCTTGGCCAGAGACAGCAAACCAAACCAAACCAGCACACTTGTCTTGCACACCGGCTCTGTACACACGACCCGGCCCCGGGGTCCCATCCGTGTTTCGAGGTGGCAAAAAGGAGCACAATGAGCCGCATTGTCCAGCGGCTTCCACCAACGGCAAAGCTGGGGCAGAATCCGGGGGCACAACAAGAGAGAAGAACCCACCCAGCTCTGCTGCTCGCCCTGCTGCCCGCTAATTGAAGAACCAACCCAGGGCCCTCATTAGGGTCCCGGGGAGCGCACCCAGCCCTTCGCGGAGCACCGAAGGTTGAGCGGCAGTTCGGGGCTGGCGTTTGCACCTGGGGCTGCCGCTTTTTCATGGATTTTAACACATGCAAACAAGAGCTTTTGTTGGAAGGGACAAAAGCTGTCCCGGCGCGGGGCTCTCCCCAACACTGCCCGCATTGTTTCCTCTCCGCTGCTTCTTGTCACCCTGCTTGTCGGACTTTAATGAGGACAACGAGATTTCGCAGGCTCATTTCGCACTTCAGCAACTTTCTAACACTTTCTTAACGAGGAAGAGGGGGCGGGAGGGCTCGGGGAGGAACCGCCCGGCCCGGCAGAAACCCTCACGGCCGGCTGCCCCCAGCGCTCCGGCTCAGCCGCTTCGCCCCATTAAAACTCCCGAAGAACCGGGGGTGGGGGGAACCCGCAGGAGGTTGGCAGCGGCCGGGACCGTCCGCACGGCTCGCAACCAAGCGGTTCCCCGGCGCAGGTAGCATTTCCCGGAGCAAAAAGCTTTCCCCGGGCTCAATCTCAGCCCTGGAAATCCTCAGCCCCCCCCCGCAGCGGGGCGTTAAGGACAGATGCTGGGTGGAGGGGGGGGGGAAATGATGATGGGCCCCAGCCCCACTCCGCATAAGGCAGCTTCTCCTTAGCATCGTCAGCACTGCGGAGACGCCGCAGATTGCGGATGGCTGCGCTAAGGCGGTGCTTTGCCCTCCTTTGGCTTTCGGGGAGCGACCCCTGAATGCCCCCCACCCCGTTTATCTCTTTTGCTGGCGGCTCTGGGGCTCCCGGCACAGTTTTGCGGGCACGATTTGCCAGCAGCCTTCGCAAATCCCCGCCTCGCAGTCCCGTTCCCACGGCCGATATCTCCCCTCTGCTTTTTTTTCCTTCCTTCCCTTCGGTGAGACGTGCGGAGAACTCGAGAAGTCGTTTAATGCGAAAGGATTTTAAAACACAAAAGTATGCGGCGAAAGAAAAAAAAAATAATCACACCCCGACCGCTTAATTAGGTATTTACCGAAGGAGTCATTACGGCCTGCTGGGTATAACAGAGAATTTATAGGTTCTCAGACCACAAAGAAATTCGGTAATTACTTTTTTCCCCCTTTACGATGGGATGGGTTGAGGGTGGAGAGTGATAAACTTAACTCCGTTCCCCGGCTTTTGCAGATTAGCCCTTGGCATTGGTCGGCAAACTGCGAGTGAATAGAGACTGTGTGACCACAGTCCCTTGAATTAGGGACAAACATTTCCTCTGTGCATTTTAAATAATGCTGCTGCCAAATATTTTGTTACCAGAGATCATTATCCTTTGAATGAAAACTCGAGGAGTAAAGGCATTGGTTTTGTCTTTGCTGGTGTGGAACGGACTATATGATATCTAGAACAGCAACAAGCTTTCACAAATTGCTATATGATTTCTACTGCCAGATTCTGTGATATTGGATACGACATAAAAATAAAAAAGCCGGGCAGATAGACACAGAAAGTCACAGAAACCACCTGTATATTCTGTTTCAAAGGGAAATCTCAGCTATTGTCTTACTGGCTCTGGTTCTGTTAGGCCTTGGATCTGCTTAATCTTTAAAGCTATTCAAACAAATTGAATGATACAAGGCGAGTCTTCTATAATTAATCTGGATTCTTGAATTTTGATACAAACTTTTATGTAACTGAGAAGTTTCTCCCTTTTCCTTGCAAAGACACTAAATAGACACTATGTCCTTCTGTTGAGGCCGCTACCACAGAGTCAAAAAGAACAAACCTGGACATTTTCCCTCAGCAGGGAAAAAAATAGGAGGAATGTTAGAAAGAGATGTAAACCCAAAGTCATGGGAGAACTGGTGGTGGTGCCTGGACAGGAACCAAAGGTCGAAGAGGTGTGTAAGCTACGAGCTGCATGAACAAGCCAATTATTCTCACGTGGATCAGCTTCAGTACAGCCTGTCCCAAAGAAATGGCAACAGTGCTGTTGTGCATGGGAGAACCAGTGACTGCCACTGCAGATGATGAGGCTCAAGCTATGGTCTGTCCTTTCTTAAACTGTGCAGTTTGCTCTCAGTATTCATCAGAACCAATAGCTCACAGAGCTGCACATCCTGTGATGAGGCATTGCTGAAATCCCCCAACATGACTCTCTTGTAGGGGTCGGTATTTTGTCTGGGTGATCAAGGAGCAAAGAATGATGTCTTTTACTTTTTGTTTCCTGCTTTTTTCTTTTCTTTATCTGATGTGGGCTGTCCAGTCTGTGACTTTAGTGGAAAATCAGAACACAGAGGAAGGTCAGCAGACTTGGATCAGCTTAATAACTCACAGCTTGCAGGTCCAGTTCCCACCAAGGTTGCTGGTAATGGAGTCACAGGAGCAGCACACACTTGAATGGTGGCAACTCTCCACGTCATCCCATATCAGGTCTGTGTGTCTGAATTTCCTCTGTGCAGATTTCTTCTCCTCATCCAGATTCTTCTTTTAATCACAGAAGGTGCAGGGACAGAACGTAAACCTTTTGGCTTTTGAAGCTGATTTGCCTGGTGATGATGGCTTGTATGGGGATGGTCTATGGCCAGGGAACACATATGGGAGAGGAACCCTGGGCAATTGCTGCTAGTTAGGATGGTGCCATTGAGCAGTGTCACCTCTAACCCTTCCAGGTGTAGTGCCAAGCCATGTTCCCAGGGCTCTTTGCCTGCCTACCCCTGCTCACACTACCTCTTTCTCCAGAAATGCCCAAGGATTATTCTCCATTCTCTGCAGAGGTATCACCTCCTCAATGCTGTGAAAAGACAATTTGGACCGCAGCTATTCATTTTAGAATGGGAAAAAAAAAAAAAAAAAAACCACAAGCCACGCCAGTTTCCTGGCTCCCATGGAAGAGACAACCAAAAGCTGCCCATGCCATGGTCCAGCTGGGATGGTTTTTCGGTGCCAGCAGCACCTGGCTTGCCACCAACTCCAATGCCACCAGGTCCTGTCACTGCTCCTCAGTGCCGGCCCCAGAGGCCACGGCAGATAAACCTCTCCAGGTGTTCCGCTGAGAACAAAGGGCCTTTTCAGCGGCTGCTGGGAAGGAAGAAGCCTCCTTGCTGGTTGCAAAATGGCTTTCCTGGATGGCAATATTTGGTTACAGTAAGATCTGTTATTTCAGAAGAAGCCCCGCAGAAGGGAGGGTAATTTGACTCAGGCACATTAAAAAAAAAAAAAAAAATGGTGTGTGGGGATTCGTCTCCCTCCTTCCTCAAAGTAGTGAAACAATATTGAGTTGCAATGTTTTGCAGCAGAAGTGGGACCATCTCACCTTGTTACACCTGCTTAAAGCCATTGCAACTCAGTTTCCTCTTATGCCTTCCCCACGCTCCATAGGCTGCTCTAGTCGGTGCTCTCTGATAAGTGGAAGATCATCAAACCATTAAGGTTGGAAAAGAGGTCTGAGATCATCCAGTCCAACTGCCACATCCCCATGTTTCTGGAACACCTCCAGGGCTGGTGACTCCACCACCTCTCTGTGCAGCCCACACCAGTGCCCCACCACTCTTTTGGAGAAGAACTTTTCCCTAACGTGATATATTTAAAATTATTTTCCTCACTCACTTCAGATCGAAATGGGAAGGACAATGAAAGGAACCTCTCCACACTGAGATGGCATTGCCCATCTATGAAAGAACAGCAGAGGGAGGCTGCATGAGCACAGATGTGTGTGCTTAAATGGAAACACAAGGACATGTAACATTTTTTAATGTCTTCTAAAGTCACCATGACAATTCTTGCATATTTATTTATAAAGCTGTACTTCTTATTTTAAGTAAATGACTGAACTCTAGCTCAGAAATCACGCTTTCCAATAAAGCTCTGTTATTTCTTAATAAGGACAACTCTATCCTAATTCTTCAAATGGTCCGACTAACATCTATACAAATAATGGGATTTGGCTGAGTACAGTTAAATATATTTGATTACTTCCCTTTTATCTTGCTCTAGACTTACTGTACTTTTCCTTGGATGGCAAATAAGAAGCCCTTTTCTTCTAAGTGACAGCAGGGGAAAGAATCAGGTTGCTAATTTACCTGAGACCCAGGAGTGTGTAATGATAGATGTGTGCTGGAAACAACCGAGTGGGCTTTCTGATTTTGGGGGGGGAGGAGAGAGGTAAAGCGTGAGATTCGTTAATCTTCCACACTGATTGCACTTTTGCTGGTGGACTCTCACAGCAGTAATTAAATGCACAGCAGGAAATGAATGCTTCAAGGAGATCAGCTGGCAAGGAGCTGGGACCTGACAAAATGTGTCAGAAAGGAAACAATTAGAGTCAAAACAGGAAAAAAAAAAAAAAAAAAAATCGCAGTTTTCTACACAAATAGGGGCACATCCTGCTTGTGAGTACCTGCTGAATCCCTCAAAGTGAAGGCTGGGTTTACCTGTGTTGTTGATGGAAGCAATCCAAAGGCCAGTGCACACATGGCCCTGACCATTTTGGTCAATCACTGTGTGGATGCTCGGTGTTGGTCTTCACTCTAAAGCTTTCTTAATGGCCAGAGCTGGATTCAGGAGACAGAGAGCACTACAGGGAGCATTCAGTTCTTTGCACATTGGTGAACTGAGCCTTTTATCAAAGTCTTCTTGGACACGTGTGAGACAGGAGGAGGAGGAGGTTGCAGGCAAGCACTAATAGGCCATGAGCAATTGTATGGTTTAGGTTTGCTTTGTAGCCTCCCCAAGGGACAACCAAGGGCAGAACATGCCCACAGCTCCACCCAAGGGAAAACCAAGGGCAGAACATCCCCACGTTTTCATGGTGACCAGCCAAAATGGGCTTGATGCACAAGCAGCTTTGGGTAGAAAGTCATGAAGCTGGCAGTTCCACTGGGAGCAGCTCCTGCAATTCTGAGCTCCGTAGAACTGGAAATGGTGCAGTTCATGAAAGCCACTCATAGTAATGTTTGGGAGAAAGTGTTTGTTCATATAATTTTAGAAAAGTTCTTACTATTGCCTGATAAATGATGCTGCCTTCTTGTTCCTTCAAAAGCTCTGCATATTAATTCTTCCCCTGGCTCTCTTTAGGTTGGTTCAGATATAATATCGACTACTCAGAAATCCACAAAGATGCCATAATTTCCTCCAGGCATATTTCTATATGACAGCACTTATGGCAAACCCCAGCTCCCTAAAACATCTACAGGAAAGCAACATTTCTCTTCCTTCGTTGCTCTACAGAAAGAAATCACGTTGTGACTCTCAAGTAGAAAAAAATTAGAGAAATAATAACATGACCCAACTGCAAAAATATTTTTTTTTTCATGAACTATACCAATGAATTGGAAATGCAAGTAGTAAAACGAATTGCCAAAAGTATCAAATATATGTGTTTTCAATAACTTTTTTTTGTTACCTAGTAAAATATTCTCCTGGAGAAGGGTTGTTAAAGCCCTGTGCACAACTTAAAGGTGCGGTGATGTATAGTCTCAGAAGTGGTTTAATGGAGTTTTGGGGTCCTATTTTTGTATATATTTTCAACACACAGGGTGCACGATCAATTTGGATTTATAAAATGCCATATATTTCTTTCTAAGCAACAATCTGAAGTTTTAAAGAATGCTGCTTAGCTTGGATTGCCTGCGTGTGTTTGCATTTTGGCAAGGCAGCAAATAACATACAGTATTTATGTCATTTGAGGAAAGCATTCTGTAGATTTACCAAAAGCAGCCCTTTCTAAGGACCGAAAGGTGCCTCATCCACACTCCATGAGATGCAGCAGGAGGAGGAGGACAAGGCACAGTGGGCAGAGGAACCTCAGTACTGCCTTTGCAGCGTAGAAGGTAGGTTTTAAGCCAGCAAAACAGGTCTTCCTTCAGCTCAACCTCTTTGCCTTAGTGAAATGGTTTCAAACCTACCTGTGTGCACAGGGCTGGTGTGGTCAGCAGGCTGGGGGTCACACCAGCACCTCCTCCAGGCTCTACCCATCTTGCCATGAAAACCAACCATCAGCACATCCAAAGCTGGAGAACAGCAAGACCAGCTACCATCAGCAGGAGTTCATCCTTGTCACCTCATCACCCTGGCACAATGTGGGAGCAAAGTCATAACACCACCTCAGTTAACCAGATGCCAGCCCCCTCACCATGACCAAAGCTCATTACCTTCCACCTGCTTCTTCTTCAGTGCTTCCCTGGCCTCCTAACATTTCATCCTGCCTAATTATTGCCAGGATCTCACCTGGGGGCAGCTGCAAGGCACTAATTGCAACTTGCCAGCCAATGCTCACTAAGAACAGTTCTTATCCATCAGGTCATGCTCCCCACTAGAACTAACCCCACACGATAGAAAGATGCAAGTGATCACGATTTAGCCTTATTCTAATCTCTGTTCCCTTGTTTGCTTTATCAGTAACCAAGACCAGGGCTGTGACATGGCTGCTCGGTACCAGCTGCTGCCCATTCATTCGTTCTGAAAGGCAAAGACCTGTGCCCCATTCACACCTCTGTTAGCCCCACAGATCCCTTGTGCTGAAATTTCCGTGCCAAGTCACGATATAACATTTCATTCAGAGATTTTTCTCCATTTTCTTTTCTCCTTTTTGCTTTATCTCTTCCTTCCATCTCCAGCCTGTCAGGACTGTCACATACCTGCGGCTGACAGGTAAAAGATCAGGAACTTTGATGTTGTAAGGGATATTTTATCTCAGGTAATTCTCACCAATTCATACGTTATTGTGTAGGATATCCAAGGACTCAGAGTGTGAGCAACGCCTTTGTCTGGTAAGATGAGAGCAATTTGCAAGCTTTTCTGGGAACAAGGTCCAATAAAGGGACTTTAGAGATATAATCTGTCAGTCCCATTGAGCAGCGCTGTGACAGCAACCTGATGATTATTGACAGTTTAAGCATCAGGAAAGGACAAGACTGAGGGCACGCAGTTATTTGTAGCAAGACATTGTTTGCTGAGGAAGCAAAGGAAAACCTGTATAGCCAAACTCACCGTGGTTTTGCTGGGTCCCCTCACACAACTGACCCAAGTTTCTCTTTACCAAGAGTTGGGGAAAATAGAAACAACAGTTTCTACGTTGTAACTTCTGGTTTAGAAAGGTGGATCATTATTTAACTCAGTATTTCTGAGTTAATTTGGGCCCCTTGCTAGATAACCATTCGAATCATTTATTTGCAAAGGCACCAGTGTCTTCATTTTCAGTAAACACACTGAAGTCTTTATAAAGTTACTGAACCCCCTCCCATGGCTGCAGCTTGTTCTCTCACAGAAGTTACTTTGGGGTAAAACCTTTCTGCAGAGGCACATAGCAGGTCTGTATCCATCCACCCCAGTTTGTGTCCATGCCCTTAGTCATCAAGCTGTGTTAATATATGCTCCAAGGAGGTGTTAATTGATCTCTTACTGATCAGCTAAGCACAGCATCGCTGATATTTAATTCAGTGTGCAGCCATGTCTTGTTCCTCACACCAAATTCCCCTTCCAATCTCTCAAACCCATGGTCATCATTCACGTTCTCTATCCTCACCAACTATCTTGCTGTATTTTGAAGCCAAACCCCTGCGACCCCTTGGGAGCTGTTGGAGAGGGTCCACAGGTGGGCCACAAAGATGATCAGGGGACTGGAACACCTCCCTATGAGGACAGGCTGAGGGAGCTGGGCTTGTTCAGCCTGGAGAAAAGAAGGCTGCGGGGTGACCTCATTGCAGCATTTCAATACCTAAAGGGAGCCTGCAAACAGGAGGGGAATCAACTCTTTGAAAGGGTAGATAACTGCAGGATGAGGGGAAATGGTTTTAAGTTGAGGAAGGGGAGATTTAGGTTGGATGTCAGGGGGAAATTCTTTTCAAAGAGAGTGGTGAGGTACTGGAACAGGCTGCCAGAGAGGCTGTAGATGCCCCGTCCCTGGAAGTGTTCAAGGCCAGATTGGATGGGGCCCTGGGCAGCCTGGTCTAGGACTAAATGAGAAGGTTGGTGGCCCTGCATGTGGCAGGGGGATTGGAGATTCATGATCCTTGAGGTCCCTTCCAACCCTGGCGATTCTGTGACCTAGGGCAGAAGCCCATGACTGATCAGTGGTGGTCCTTCCCAGGACGAGGCTGTCCCAAAGGTCAGCATCTTCACCCAAGCAGCAACATGGCAGTTGCCTCAACCACCAGCAGTGCCTTGTCCCAGGTTTTCATGAGCACGAGTTTCATAATTTCACTGTTTCTCTACCCTGGGTTTCACTTTTCCTTGTATTTTCAGGAAAGCAGCTGGGGGATGGCTGGGGGTGGTGTAGGACAAGACCAGCAGACCATGGCCATCAGCTTTGGCTGTGGAGGGAGGGGCTGAGGGAGCAGGCTGTGTCAGCCATCACCTGCCTGACCAGAAGCATTCCCTTAGCTATGGATTCTGACTAATGGTCCTGAATCTTCCCATCGGGACTCAGTCAGGTGTAATGGTGCAATCCCAGAGGGAATCATCACCTCCCAGCACAGAGGGTCATGGGGCTGGACTTGATGAGGGCTCTGCCAGCACCTCTGCTGCTGCTGTTACTCACAGCCAGAAAATCTGCCCAAATATGTGTCAAAAATACACAGGAAACTCCCAAGCCATCGCTTACGTTGTGTCTACACTGGAACATGTACAAAGGGTTCATCACCATGGAGGGCACAGCCCTGAATTAGAACATCCCAATGGCAGCCTGTCCCACAACACCACCACAAATAATGTGTGGGTGCTGAAATAACACCAACTCATGCCTCCCAGCTCATGGTGCCAGCCAGGCTTCAAATATCCTGTTGAGGTGGAAGCCTGGTATTGACTGCTGCACTGAGCATTGCTTGTTGATATGTTGACCTGCACATTTGTTCACTGGAGTTTGATTTTCCAGATTGACCTGCAATGCTGGCACCAGGTGTTAAATGATCTATCATAGGGAAACCATGGAAAAGCCAAGAAGAAAACCCAGATATCACCAGTCTCAAGATATTATGACAACTGACCTGTGTCAGAAAACACTCCCTGCTGCTGCCACGCAACTTTTTTTATCAGCAAAAGATGTGGGCTTTTTTGTTGGTTTTGGTTTTTTGGTTGTTTAATCCTTAGCAAGATGCTGTTTCACTGGAGACCACTTAAAATGAGATTTATCTTCCTTGGAATAACTACAGACTCTTGCATTTGTAATTCATTCCCCTCCCATTTCTAATCTCATTTCGATTGAATGTATTGTTTTTCTTTCCATTATTTATAAAATGAGATCATTAAATGAATATTGGCACTTGACAGGTTTGAGGCAGAGGGAAATTTTGCTGCAGATGAATCCTGAATAGAACTCTTTGGATTACTGCAGAGCCTTTTCTGGTGAAATGGCAAAAATGAGCTCTTTTTTTGTGCCATCTATTTGTTCCTCCGATTTGACATTTTGGGGACAAAAGAGATAAATAAATCCTGAATTCCAGAGTCTTTGACACTTGCTGCAAGAAACAACCCAGGACAATGGTGCAGGGGACACTTTGGGAGATGGGGACATGGATGGGGACACGGGGCAGCACTGGAGAACCACAAAGGCACCATCCAGTCCTGTTCTGTCCCACCAGCTCATGTTCTGTTCCCAACTAACCAGTGACCAAACCCACAGGAGCAGCTGCTTTTCACACCATCCTCATCAGGGTGGGTACTATGACTTCTGCTGGGGGTCCTCGAGGATGCTCTGTTAAAGCAGGATGTATCTGACCCTTGGAAATAGAGCAATATGTTCCAGATGCAGCAGAGAAATCTGGGGAGGGGGTTCTTTGGAAATGGTTTGCTTCCTTGAACTTCTGTTTGGAGGGGAAAAAAAAAAAAAAAAAAAGATCTAAGAGCATAAATCTACAGTAATTCCACTGCAAACCACAGCTTGACTTTGAATTAATATTGGTGTAAATTGGAGTAAGATTTGGCCACAACTCCCCCCTCAGCTCTCCCCTCATTCCTGAAAGACACAAACACAAAGCTCTAAACATTGACAGTTATGTATTGCATAAAATATTTCCTGGCTTGGAAAACCTCATGGGACAGCGATCAGGAACAAGATGATGCAAATAATCAGCTTAATTGAAAGTAAAGGCACATTACTGAAAATAAAGAGATGGAAGTGATTTTTCCTTTGCCAGTTTTAAGATGAGCAATATTAGTAGCAGCTGCATCTCAAGCCATTTTGCAGATAACCCTGAGAGGGGCATTCTGAAAGCTAAACAGTTTAATTGCATAGGCTACCCTTTAATTTAGGGTGGTGAGAATGATATGAAGGGTTCATTAAATTGGGGCATTAACCATGGCAGAAAGTAGAGTAGTTTCTTTGTTGTAAAAGATTCTTGCTACTGAGCCATCACTGCAATAGATGGTTCATGGGAATCACAGTGAGGTAGGGTGGGTAGATGGAGACACGTTGAGATAGAGGGACGCAAACAAAAAATAATTGGTACAGCACACTGCAGATTGCATATTGCTGCAGACAGTTATTTAATAACGATCCAATTATTGCTGCCAGCTGGGACATATTAAGATGCTTTGAGAAGTCAGGCTTAAGTCCCCAGGGCAGGGCTGCTTGCCATGAGGTGGTACGAGGCTGCTTGGGTTCTCCTTCCTGCGTAGCTCAACACAACAAAAAATGAAACGTTGGTCAAGCATGGCTTCTATGCTGGACAAAACACCAGCTGCTTTGCTTTTATTTTGGGGTTGCAGCAGCATGGGATGGCACACAGTCCATGGAGGATTGCGTTTCACCTGTTAGCTTTGTGTATTGAAGATCTGGGGTTTTGCTGTACCTGATCTGTCATTTTACCGGAGGACGCCATGTCCATGGCTGGCACTGATGCACAGCCATCAGCAGACCAGGAGCCATGGCTGCTATTATCAGCCCCAAAGGGCTGGCTGCATCTGGGGCAGGAGCCTCTTGGTCATCGTTATGTGCAGGAGATGAGGATCAAACACAGGCAATGGGATTTACCCCCTTGTCCTGATTATAACAGCAGCTCAGCCTCTCACTTCCCTTTCCCCACCACTCACAGATCAATTCAGCATTTTGAGAGCAGCCACCAGGAAGGAACGGAGCTCCTGAGTTGTGTGGCCATCCCACAGCCCTTGGCACCATGATCCCAGTGAGGGACAGAGGACCAGGGAGCCTGCCAAGATGCTCTGTGGGCACAGGGAGCCTCACGCCTGCCGGGTACAGCCTTTGGGCTCTGGAGACCCAGATCGTGTGATGGCACAGTCTTCCCATCCTTTAAGCACAACCTCAGATCCAACAACAACAAACAGTGCTCTCAGAAGGGTGGAAGAAAGCTTCATGGCGTCAACCCCAAAGGCTCAGAAACCTCACTCAAAGGGAAAAGTCCCGGACCTGCTGCTACCCAAATGCTGGGTGTCACAACCACCACGTCTCCTCGCACTGCAGGTGATGGGTGGGGACCAGGGGTGGCACAGACTGCGCTGGAAGCAGCTGGTCCTGGTGCGT